AATTACATGGTTTTATTCTTTTTTTTCCTGTTTCTTCTATTACTCTCGATTATTTAGAGAAAAAACAGAAATATATCATTGTGTGCTTCACTCTAACAAGATTGAATCACTTTTTAAAAAATATTAACGAAATCAGATCATCTGGATTTCAAAATGAGAGAAACTGTGTTTAACGATCAGTTGGATTGGCAAAAATAAAAATCCCACTGACATGTCAAGCAGCACTTGGTTAGTGACGGAGGAACTAGGTCTTTAGTTCTCAATTCCTTTTCATGTTAGTAAAAATGTGATGCCATCAGTAACTTACAGATGTTCAGTATCTTGTAGGACATAAGCAGAGCATGAAGCAGTCAGAAAGATATAAATTCCTGAACTACCGAGTAGATATTAATAAACACGGAGGGCTTTTCAGAGTATGCAGACTGAATAGAAAGCAAAAGCTTATTTAAGATTAAACCAGAAGCATCATCCAAAGTTTACAGGCCTGTAAACACACAGCCTCTTCCTCTCCAGGCTCATTTCCCTGGATTCTTCCCTCTTACAAAATGCTCTCAAAGTATAATATTTTTCTATGAATTTCCTTTACTTTTTCCCACTCACTGTACTCTGTACTCTCCCCAAAAGAGGAATTGAACTGCAGGACACCTCCCTTTCTAGCAGTCTTTTACAGATAAAGTTATGTGCATATTCCTACTAACTTAAATGACTTTAATTTTGTAAGGTATTGCTGTTGTGGTTGAGTCACACTGGCACAACTCTCAGAGCTACAAGGAAGAATCCATAAGCTAGCAACCCTAACCAAGTATAACAGTTGTCCTAAGACACTGGTATGCTGCAAATTCAGCACAGCAAACTCTCAGATACCACTGGAATGAAATTCAAGGGGCAGTAGAGATATGCAACTAAAGAGAGAGGTTTTTTTTCTTCTAGGTCCCATTGTTATTTACCTGTCTGTTTGACTCCCATGTCCTTCAGCACTCTGCAGCCTTTGGCATTCTGAAATTGGACTTTTACAGATACAGGAAAAAAAATCTGAAACGGTTTACAAGCCTTCCGTTTACTTTTAAAAGCAAAGCAAAACAATAAAAAAATAAAAAACTTTAAAAGGATGCCTGATACATGAAACCGGCTGAACTGGATGCCCAAGAACTGGTATTTCAAAAGGAATTTTATATGCTTCAACTGTTCCAGTTCTCCTCCTCCCCACTTAGCCAGCCTCTGCCAGCTCCCAGTTGTACACTGCAGATGGAGCCAGAGCATTTGGGGGTCAGGCTACTGTCACGAAACAGAAGGACTGGGAAGGCATTAACTCCTTGGTATAGCTTTTCAAGCAGCCTGGCAGGCCGCTTGGAGGCATTTGGAGAAAGCCAGACCTTCTCAATGACAATGCTTCACTTTGATGGAGTAAACCAAAGCACATATTTATTCAAAATGGTTCAACCTCTGCCGTAGAGATTAAGGTTTGGAATTAGTTTTGCTCCATAAAGCTAGATCAATTTTAGTAGCTGGTGCCAATTTGAAGTTGGAGCAATCAAATGTGGAAGGGCCAAAATCATAAAAGGAAACACTGTTCCCAAAATTTAAAGCTTTAAATGAGAGAGTATGCCAGCAAACACGTGCTTGGTTTTCAATTATTAATATTACATTTCAGTTTTCTGCTATAATGTGCCATTTAGAAAAACAGTTTTCTTTGAGATTTTCTTTTTATCTTCAATTTTTTTCTTAGAACTGAAAGGCGTCATCAACAGTTTGTTGGCTTGTTCTATTAATACAGGCTTCAACATGCTTGCTACCACCTCTATGGCCCAAGATAGCTTAACAGAAACTAAACTGTGCAACCTACCAGCATGCATGGCAAGAATCACCCTCAGTTCTCTAATTGATGCATACTTCTGGAAGTTGGAAACTCTGCCAAGAAGAGTGTTTTCCTTTCTGCAAATAAAATAGATGCAGTTCTCTCTTATTTTCCTCTATGTTTAAACCCTTCAAAACAAGGAAAACTGGACTTGAAATTATCCATTTCAACCCTTGGTTACGAAACGGTAACTAAAGCTATGTCTGCATGACAGTGTAACTGGTGTAATTGATTACAGAGAATTAGTCCATATTCTAGACGATGCTAGAAAGGATTGGAGAAGGAAAAACAAGCATGAACAACCTTTGCAGGATCTACTGTCAGCCAGTTAGTATTTAAATCAGGAATAAATAAGTAAGTACCACGGGTACCTCCTGGTACCATTAACACCACTGGTACCTCCTATCCCATTAATATCAAATTGAATGAGCATAACGACTGCAGAACATATCCAAATACTTTTCAAGATCATTCCCATTTGTCCAAAACAGGCAACATGAGTCTTTCTGGACACAAGGTAGATGATGGATTTGATAGACGCAGATACTGATAATAAAAAAAAAAAAAAAAAAAAAAGTTTCCGGTCAAAGCAAGTATGGGAGAATTTCCTTCCTGAATGTCTTGATTCACTGGTGGTAAAAGTAAAGTATGCTCATCAACAATGCATTTGTATATTAGTATTTGGTAGGGCTCCAGGTCTTTAGTAGGTCTTGTGAAAGCAGAGGAGGAGAATTCCCTCCCTCGCCCTGCTGGCCATGCTGCTGTTGGTGCAGCCCAGGGTATGGGTGGCTTTTGGGGCTGCCAGCGCACATTTCTGGGTCACATTCAAGTCTTTCTCCACCTGTACCCTCAAGTCCTTCTCTGTAGGGCTGGATGTCATTAATGAGAAGTTCCCTCACGTACATAGCACAGAAAGATGACATGTAGAGAACATGATAGAGGCATTCTGTGTTCCCTTGAAACATACCATTCAGGTCCTGACATTTTAAATCTTCTTATATAAGAACTGGAGACTTGGGTTTGTTTTTCTACATTCAGTTCAATACAAAAATCAAAATGTTCTTCTCAGAAAGTGTAGAAACAGTGTATTTTGATACAATTTCTCAATATTTTCTAAACCAAATGTTGACAGTCTTAATGGATATGGAATTTAATAAAAACCATCTGCACTGAAAACTGTTTTCCTTAAAAATTTCAACCTAACCATGCTAACAGACTGAGGATTCAGATTTGTGTGGAAGTTTGTGTCTAATAAACTGGGGGGTTAATTTATTGTTTTAGAAATAGAGTTGTCTCTTATAAGTAATTAAGACCATGAACAGCCTGGTCTTGCTGCGCTGACAGAAAAGGTCACTGGGCACAGCTCCCAGCAGCTCCCCTCCTGTGGGTGGAGTGGTTGCTGCCATTGCACACACAACAAGCGTGGTCACCACCTACCAATTTAAACTGTCTAAGCTAATGGTGGGGACTTTGCTCTGAATAGTCTGATGATAATTCCCAGAGTAAACTACTGGTGGATGTGGTCAGTTCGAAAAGCAGCAGTTTCAAGCAGCTGGATCTGGTAGCCTCTTTGGGCTGAATCCACAACAGGCAATCAGGCAACAACTGTCGAGTATTCTCATTAAATATTGCTAGGAGAGTCACTTTAAAAGGATATGATGCAAATACACACCTGCTTTACTTCATGTTATGTATCTATGCAAATCCAAGTGTGCCCACATGGAGTTAGTGCAAAATAGCTGATGCAGATTATAACAGAACTTACGGTGGTGCACTAACTTCTCCATGTAGAACTCACAATATTAGCAATTGTTTTGCAAATTTGTGCAAGTGATGCCAAGCTGTCAGTGTTTGCCAATTTATCGGTCTCTATTCCCTCTCTAAGCATGTCTCTGAGACTATTTGTGCAGAACATATAACTAACAGTGGTTTGGAATGGCAGATCAGTGCCCTTCCTTAAAATTGTGGTCTAAAACAGAATTATATGCAAGATCTACAAACTTGCTCCCAGTTTCTCTGGCTTTTTAAGATGTTTAAACATCTTGTGTTATCTGTTAGTGGATTTTTAAATTAGCACCTTATGATATTATTATGGAAAAATAATAACAAAACAAATACCTATGTAACTGTGATTTAAGAAGCACAAATATTTGTGCAATGTTCATGTTCAAACATTTCATGAGTTCTGAAATTACTTTAGAAAAAGCCAGTCAGACCATAACAGAACAGGCTTTGTTCCTTTAACACTTATTCTGAAATAATATACTAAATATCTTATAGATATTTTTACTCATACCATATGTATTATTTCAGGAATAGAAGCTGATGAATGTTTACACCATTACCAAGAGTAAATAAAAGGGAAATTAAGCAAAAAAAAAAAAAAAAAAAAAAAAAAAACCTCTCATTTCCTCCAGTAAAGGTCAGTCAAAAACCTATAGCAATACCGGGAAGGAATAGGAATAAACTGTATTCCCATAGATATGTCTTTTTTTTTTTTTTTTTTTTTTTGAAGTGCAGAGGCCATTGAAGACCTTTATCAATTATTTTTGTAGCTAAAATTCAAAGAACTCAGATCTTCTTCTACTAAATAAAAAAGCAAACATCTAGAGTAATACTGTAACATGAATGTATGCTAAGCTGACACCCTGGTGTCCTTAGGATGAAAATATAACCAGTTTCTAGAAGAATATTCTTGTACTGACAATACAAGAGGAATATGCTAAAGAAGCACAAAGTGTTAACAGGGCAGGGGGAGGAGGGAAATATGACCTTAATAGAAAACCTAGAGAAAACAAATCAACAAGATGCCTTGTTTTGATAGCAGTTAGAAATATATCAATACTTCTAAACTCAGTCAACAGAAATATCGGTGCAGACACAGCTGTCTAATAGCACAATAGAAGGAAAGGCCATTTATTGGGGTACAAACAAAATACTTTTTAGAACAGACTTGTGAAGACAGAATCAATTTTTTAAAAAAAGTTCATCAAACAGGCTTTATCACCTAAGATGTAAACAAACACATAAAAATCAATAGACTTGTCTCAGATCTGAACTGAAACAGGATGCAGGTATACACGTCACCTCAAGAAAAGGGTATGCTAAGTGAATGAGAGTGCTTTTCTAGCTTTCTTTTGCTTACCTTGTCCGTGTAATATTACTTAGCTTATACTGCATATTTTTCCCATGTAGTCTGGTCTGGTAATTTTCACTGTAATAGTTGCTGGGTTGTGGGTTGTTGGGCTTTTTTGGTTGTTTTACAGCTCTTTTCTCTAGCAAACCACAATCAGACAAGCAGGGCTTCAATATACAAGCACTCTACAGGACAGAGAGTCTTGAAATCCCTTATCTGAAAAAAAAATATATATATATCATGGTCTAAACAGAAAAGACAGAAGCTAGAAGAAAAACCATAGCAAGAAGGCTAGGAACTGAGAAATATTTAGCCTACATCTGCTACTACCCAGCTTCACGTCTCTGTTTTGTTTTGAACTTACTAAATTGATGTCCTTTTGAATAATTGTTGCTGTTGTCCTATGAGTCAAGCATTTCTAATTTGACTCAGAGATTACACAGAAACAGAAATAACTCATTTGCTCAAATTCACAAACAAAAGTCATTGGCAGCATGTGAAATTTTGAATTCCTGTCAAAGGAGTAAATAATGATTCTTGCCTCCAAACAGGAAAGTCTGGTAGCATCACATCTGTGAGAAAAAGGCACATGTCTACACACTTCTTGATACTCATATGCACGTGTACTGCTCAATCTCAGCAGTATTTGGAGGGGTGGCCTGTTGCTGTGCTTTGATGACCAGCATAGTGAAAACAAGAATCATCTCTTCTATTCTTAGGGTTCATTAAATTCAGAGTGTTCCTGTGGTCAGGTCTACACAAACATCACTTTGGCACCCAGCTAATGTGGCTGTAAAGGCCAACAGTTCTCATTCCCTCCAAATCAGGGACGTTTCATGGGCTGGAACTGTCATTTCACCTGCAGTTAACAGTACAGCAACGTGCCTCATTTTGGCTACTTTTTGCCAGAATAGGCTTGCACTTGGGAGTCAGCACACCAGGTAACCCCACAGGCATCCTGCACATCGGACTGAACAGCAAACACCTACTCTGAGTGTACACGAGCAGGGATAACAGTTCGTTCCACATCACAAGAAATAAACTTTTTATTTCATGGGAACCAATTCCAACTGCAAAGCCATGCCTGTACGTATCCTAAAATTCGCATTACTCTTAAACTAGTTTGTAAAGGTTGCTGCTTTTCTTTTAGCTAGTGTCACTCACTCCCTTTGTGCACATGAAGCAACAACCTTTTATTAGTCCTTCCACATTCCCCATCTAGCAGTAAGCTCTAATCCAAAAAAGATTGTGTTATTAGAGCTTGGCGTTTGCTGTGATTGCTCTCCTCACAACGGAAGATGCAATCAGAGGAAGAATTTATGTCCTGTAATTCAATGAATGGATGTGCTTCTCCAGTAATTTCTTTAGCAATTACTTGTGTAAAGTATGTGTTTCTGTAATTGAAATTCTACAGTGTACAGTCATTTATTAAAATATATTATTTATTATGGCATTTTTCCATCTTCATTGCATTACTTTCCTTCAGTACAATGTTTTCATGGTCACATTTTAAATTCATTTTATTGGTCTGGAGATACTGAAAGTTGCAATGCAACTTGTATGCATTCAAACAGACAAGCACAGTATAAAGTGGGGGTAAAACAAGAGGAGAGGATGTTGCAAGGCACTGACAAGTAGGTGCTTTACTTTTTACCTCTCCAAAAATTCCATCACCCACTTCCAGTAAAGCAGCCCATAACTAAACATAATTTTCTCTAACATCCCTCTTCTTTATGTAGTCATTCAGCTGTTAAGAACATGTTAGTGACCTCAGTGAGCACTCCTACCCTTCAACAAGTATTCCTAGAGGGACAGTAAAAAGACACAAAATATCTTCAGGGAAAAGCTGTAAAGGAAATCCTGAAGGAGCCATTCAATTTTTTTTCCTAGACAGAAAGCACATCACCTCTGTTAGTCATACAAACACTTTTCCTGAGCAAACAATTTAGGTAGGTATCAAAGACCTTATAATGTAGTTTCTCCAAACAGGGATGGAGAGGAAGACTAGAGATTAGGCTGCTAATCAGACTCCTGGTAGAAAAACTCAAATTTAAAAGTAAATTTATTAAGGTATAAAAATCACACACAGAAATTGATGCAAGTTCTCAACAAGCAGAATGTGATCAATCTTTTAAGGACCACTTGCAGCGACGACTGCCTGCCTGAGTGCACAAAGCATTGCACTCCCCCTGCCAGAGCACCTACAGCAAGCTGGGCAAGCACAACCCCAGAAAACAGCACGATGTGGAGCAAGGGGTGGGGGCTACTGGGATGGAAAAGCAGTGGCGTATGCAAAAGGAAGAAACGAGAAAATAGGAGACTAGTCTCTTACTTCTGTAAGGGGGGAAAAAAAAAGCCACCACTGTTTCAAAGGGGAGAAGTGATACCTCCAAGGGGCCCTGTGAAAAAAGCTGCTAGGTGCAATGGGTTGAGCCTCGCCAGCAGCAAAGCAGCCACACAGTCATTTGCTCACCCCTCCTGCAGTGGGCCTGGGGAGAGAATCAAAAGTGTTAAAGCAAGAAAACTTGTGGGTTGACATAAAGCCAGATGAATAAGTGAAGGGAAAAAAAAAAAAAAAAGAAAAAAAAAAAGAAGAAAGGCAATCACCACCTCCCACCAGCAGACTGATGCCAGACCAGTCTCTAAGCAATGACTACCTTGGAAAGACCAAACCCTCCACACTTACTGCCGAGTTACACAGCACTGACTATCCTTTTGGCCAATTCAGATCAGCTGTCCTGCGTGTGTTCCCTCCGCACCTCTTGCCACCTCCTCATTTACTCTGCATGGGTAGGATGAGAAACAGTGTTTGGCAATAGCTAAAACCAGCGTGTTACCAACACTGTTTCAGTCACAAATCCAGAGCATAGCACCATACAGGTAGCTATGAAGGACTTTACTTGCCCCTGGCCAGACCCAGCACAGTAGCATCCCTCAGTGCTTCAGCCCCACCAGCCTCGCAGGGCCCTGCACTCCCACTGCCTTCCAGCACGAGAAAGGCTGAACCGGAGAGCTCTGTTTGGGGATGGAGAGCTTGATTTTACTGAGAGTAGACAACTGAGTTCTGGAATGAGTAATGTTGTGCTTGTAAAAAGAAAAGAGTACCTTCAAGGTTATGTTTTCTGCTGTTTCAGCAGTTGTAGGTCAGCTGAAAAGATTGCTAAGAGCAGCTGAAACCAGAGAGCCTTGCTAGGTTTTTGTGCAAAGTCCTGGTGACTTAGGGCTGTAACTTTGAGACATTAAGTATTTAACAGACTTCATCCATCATTCCTGCAAAACAGATTGAAGACATCTTTTAAGTAGCACTTTATCACAAATATTTCCGACTTAGGAAAATAAAGGCATATATATTTTTATGGACATTCTTATTTTTCAGTTTTATATCCCTTTGTATCAAATCCTGGCAACTGTGGAAAAGGCTTAGCTAAAGAATACTGTTTGCTGCACAGAAAGAAAACCTTCCTCACTTTCAATTGTAAATGACTTTCATAATTGCAACGGAGTCTCTCATTTTTCCTCTACTACATCCTGCCCTGTGAAAATCAATATCTCATTATCCAAGTCATAAGGTGAAGCAATTCTGGATGGGAATGCACTGTGCGTCTCTCCTCCTTGCTCGTCTGGAATGATACAAATGCAGTGAACCTCGAGTCAGTGGGAGTTTTGCCCATTGACTTAATCTACGGTTATTTAATAGCACTGTGTTTCATTCAGAGGAGGCATAAATTTAAATAACCCAAACTCTCTATAATGAAGATATCCTATTCTGCTAGCTTATGCTAAAATTATGGGGACTTTCTGCTTTTTTCCAATAACTGCTGGAATAAGTTATTGCACAGATGATTTCAAAGCAAACATTGCCCTAAGCTGTAACTTCATCATCTGAAACAAGGCTTTACTGGGGAGGTGTTTTAAAAACATGAACTCATGGTAAATCAGCAAATATCCTATGTATTTTGCTTTCTTGCTTCCTTCCAAGGCATTTTAAACTTGCTATTATCTCCTTAGGCGTAAACAGAATATCTGGCAGTGAAAGACAGAACATTTTGGTCAGTTTACTTAATGTTTTACTTTGTGAACACAGTACAAATAGAAACAGATGCAGGAAAGGAACCTGAAGGTACCCCTGCTTTCTGTTTGCATGGACTTCAATACCTTTCCCTTCGTCTCTCCACCCACAAGATAATTGCATTTAGTGCCACGATGAATTTTGTTTAGTAACAGACCTACATTCTCTCATCTTATGTCACTAAACTTGAAAAGTTAATTTCAACTTGTTGAGTCTTTTTTGGTTTTAGATGCTTGGCATGAGTTTTGCCCTGTGCCTGGATACCTTCAGGAAAGCTCGTCATCTTGATTCCTTTTGAAGCCCATGAAGAGAAACGCAGTGTTCATTGTTCAAGTTGGTTTAGATATCAGCCTTCAGATGAGATGAAAGAAAGTCTGTCCATTAATTATGAGGGGAATTGAGATGCCTGGCTTACATATACATACCTACACCTAAGGATAGCTGAGTCTCACCCAAATCTCTTTTTTTTCTCCCTCTAAAAGATGAAAAATCCATAGGAAATGCTCACCCTCCCACACCATTAGAGCACGAACTTCCCCAGTACACTTTTGTGCTCAAGTTCTGAGGCTTGGAGCTGGCTGCAGACTGCTGCCACCAGGCCAGCCAAACTCATACATTCAGCTTTTATGTCTCAGAGCTCAACTAGCAAATTGTTTCATTTTACCAAATGTTTGTTCTGGGCTTTTATCAAATCTATTTTCTTCAAAATATTTTCTGGTTTTGATCTACCACCAGTTCACAACAGGCACCTGAAGTGATGGCAAAAGCTTCTACGCTGAGACCATGGGTAAATATCAATAAAATTAATTTCCTTCAGCAGAGCATATTATCCAAATACTGCAATATGCACCTGATCACAGTTAAGATTTGATCCACTTAATTGTATCTATTTACCCCCTTGTCTGTGTGGTCCTTATGAATATTTTTAGAACAGCAATAATGAGAAGAAACAAGCTCAGAGATGACACAAAGGGAATACACAATTTCTCTTCACAATGAAATTTCCAGGAGCCTTTTAACAGACATTGGATCTTCATTCTGCGTGCAATATAGGACCAAACACAATTTAGGGTAACGTCTGAAAACAACCCTGCATAACAGATATTTTTTCTACAGAATGAGGCACCCAGCAGGAGTTAGGCTTCTG